TTCTCTGCTGCCAGAGGCAATGGCATGGCAACTTTTGTTCCCCCACTGAACGCCCCACTGAACATGCTTATATGTTCCCTCTTTGGTATTTGCACTGCTGGGTAAAAGAAGGTATCTTCCCTAGATGGATGGAGGAGCCTAAAGCATAGTTTCTGAATTCCAGAGAATAGCTTTCCTCCACACCTCCATTTTATCTTCATCCTTCTCTTCTCTCCCTTTTCACTGTCACCCTTCCTTCCTCCCTCCCTCCCTCCCTCCTTCCTTTCCCTTCCCTCCCTCCCTCCCTCCCTCCCTCTCTTCCTCCCTCCATCCCTTCCTTCCTTCCCTCCGGCCTGCCACCTCCTTATTTATAAATATAAAACTAATTAAGGGCACCTAGGATTTGAGTAGGAACATGCTGGCCCCAGAAAAACACCCATGAACCCCAACTTTATTCCAGACAAACATCTCATGAACCCCAGCCTTGTTCCAAACACCCATGAACCCCAACCTTATTCCAGACAAACATCCACGAGCCCCAGCCTTGTTCCAGACAAACACCCACGAACCCCAGCCTTGTTCTAGACAAACACCCACGAACCCCAGCCTTATTCCAGACAAACATCCACGAACCCAACCTTATTCCAGACAAACATCCACGAACCCCAGCCTTATTCCAGACAAACATCCACGAACCCAACCTTATTCCGCTCCAGTATCTGCACTCTCACCCACAAAGTGGGGGGCGGCGCCCTCTCTTCAATATTGTCACCGAGTTCAAGGCAGCGGCAGCAGAGAGGCTGAGTGAGCAAAGGCAGACAGTGCAGGGAGGCGGACACCCCACCCCGCCGTGCGGCTCTGATGCAGCACCCCGCAAAGTGCATTGAGGCTGGGTCAGCAACCTGGGGGTGGAGTCTTGTGGTAGGAGGTGGAGCCTGTAAGAGGAAGAGCCTCGTGGCAGGGGGTGGAGCCTCGTGGCAGGAGGTGGAGCCTGTAGGAGGTGGAGCCTGTAGGAGGCAGAGCCGCGTGGTAAGGGGCGGGTAAGGGGCGGAGCCTCTGGCAGGAGGCGGAGCCTCGTGGTACAAAGATAGGTCATTGGAGAAAGCGGGTATCAGCGCCCCCTTTCCGTCTCTCTTTCTCCCCTTCTCCTCCTTCTTCCTCTCCTCCTTCTTCCTCTTGATACCCAAGCGGAGCGACTTCTCCCCCAAGTGCTCCACGCTCCCTCCGTGGCGTCCTGCCCACCCCAGGCCCTCAGAAGTGGTGTCAGTCTCCTCCTCACCAAGCCAGTTGTCCTGGGCGTGCGCATGGACACACTTGCCACGCAAGGTCGGGCTGGGGTTACTTTGGGCTGGAGAAGATGCGGGAGGTGGAGGTTACAGACAGCAAGCGGACAGACGGACGGACGGAGGGAACCATAGATGGTGGGAGATGAGACGTAGTGCGAGGTGAGGGATGGTAGGCGGCTGATGATGGAATTGGGGCTAGGTGGGGGGCCAGGAGGGGGAGGTCAGGAGGGAGGGAACAGCTGGGGGAAGACAGATGGAGGAGGAGAGAGGGGGGAGGACAGATGGGAGGGGACAGATGGGGAGGACAGATGGGAGAGGACAGATGGGGGACAGATGGGGGAGGACAGATGGGGGACAGATGGAGGAGGACAGATGGGGAGGACAGATGGGAGGGAACATATGGGAGGGAACAGGTGGGGGAGGACAGCTGGGAAGGGAAGATGGGAGGGGACAGATGGGGAGGACAGCTAGAGGAGGACAGAGGGGAGGACAGATGGGGGACAGATGGAGGAGGACAGATGGGGGAGGAGATATGGGGCGGACAGATGGGAGGGAACAGATGGGAAGGAACAGGTGGGGGAGGACAGCTGGGAAAGGAAGATGGGAGGGGACAGATGGGGGAGGACAGCTAGAGGAGGACAGAGGGGAGGGGACAGATGGGGAGGACAGATGGGGGACAGATGGGGGAGGACAGATGGGGGACAGATGGAGGAGGACAGATGGGGGAGGACAGATGGGGGACAGATGGGGAGGACAGATGGGGGAGGACAGATGGGGGAGGACAGATGGGGGACAGATGGAGGAGGACAGATGGGGAGGACAGATGGGGCGGACAGATGGGAGGGAACATATGGGAGGGAACAGGTGGGGGAGGACAGCTGGGAAGGGAAGATGGGAGGGGACAGATGGGGGAGGACAGCTAGAGGAGGACAGAGGGGAGGACAGATGGGGGACAGATGGAGGAGGACAGATGGGGAGGACAGATGGGGCGGACAGATGGGAGGGAACAGATGGGAAGGAACAGGTGGGGGAAGACAGATGCGAAGGGAAGATGGGAGGGGACAGATGGGAGGGGACAGCTAGGGGAGGACAGAGGGGGAGGACAGATGGGAGGGGACAGGTGGGAGGGGACAGAGGGGGAGGACGGATGATGGGGAAGGACAGATGATGGGGGAAGTCACAGGTGGTGGAAGACAGGTGATGGAGAGAGAGACAGATGACGTGGTGGAGGGAAGTGCAGACACTGAGAGGCCGGGGTAGTCAGTCACATCTGCAAACTGGTTACAGGCATCTGCTTTGTATAAAGGCATCACCCTCACACACTTGATTTAACTGAGCCTGTAGAAGGATGTGTACTTCAAGCGATCATTAGTACATCAATAACGCCTCATGCTGAGATGACTTCCACCTTGCACAATGACCCAAAGACCCTTCTCGCCAAAGACTACTTGCTGTGTTGTTGCTCAGCTTCTAATTATTTTACCTTAAGTAACCTTGGACACCCCATGCGTCCATGACCGCTTGCATGACTGCCAATGCTTATTATTATTGAAACTCTCAAGTGGAACTAAAGATGTTTGGATGCATTTGAAAATCTAGATCCCAAAATGATGATGACGGTAACGGTGATAATGGAGCATCAGTGTAAAAAGGGTCCATTGTTGTGTGGACCTGGGGAAGGTGAAGGAGAGAAAAGAATATGTGTGTATGTATGTATGTATGCATGCATGCATATGTATATATACTGTGTGCAAAGAGAACATAATGAAAATTACCCAACACTGACGGGAGAGTGGGGGATGGGATTGCACTGGGGAGTGAATTTGTCCAAAGTCTATGGGGTTATCACAGTGAAACCCCCTTCAGGCTATTAATGTGTGCTAATTAAAAATTAAAATGGTTCTTTGAAAAGAATATGGCTACAAACTATAGGTTACAATGAAGATCATGTGAGCCTGTTACAATTCATGTTAAATTTTATGCTCTAAGAAATAGCAACAGCCAGGTGCTGGAGGCTCACGCCTGTTATCCTAGCTACTCAGGAGGCTGAGTTCTGAGGATCACGATTCAAAGCCAGCCCGGGCAGGAAAGCCTGTGAGACTATCTCCAATAAACCACCAGAAAACCAGAAGTGACACTATGGCGTAAGTGGTAGAACACTTGTCCTCAGGAGAAGAGCTGAGGGACAGCGTCCAGGCCCCTCCCCCCCAAAAAAAAGAGGGAAAAGAAAGAAATAACAACTGTAATGTAGTATAGGAACAGATCTTTTTGCAGATATGGGAAATATTCCAATTCCAATATTCCAATTACAATTACAATACTTTATTATAATATATTAATGTATTACTTTATAATGTTTCATGATGTTTCTCATGTGATTTTTAAAATTATATAAGACAAGTCAAAAGATGGGAATTGACAAACTCAGTCAGACAATGAGGCAGAACATGTTTTTATTTGGCAATCTAAGTTAGCAGCAACACTAGGAAAATTACCAACCACTCCTCCAAAGTCAAAACTCCTCCCTACCTATTGCTTCCTCTTTTTTTGTTTTTTTGGGTCCGGTCATGGGGCCTGAACTCTGGGCCTGGGTGCTGTCCCTCAGCTCTTCAGCTCAAGGCTAGCACTCTACCACTTGAGCCACAGTGCCACTTCCGGCTTTTTTCTTTTTTGCTTATGTGGTACTGAGGAATCGAACCCAGGGCCTCTGGCATGCAAGGCAAGCACTCTACCTCTGAGCCACCTTCCCAGCCCTGCTTCCTCTTTTTTAACTAGGATGTTGTTTAAAAAAAAAAAGTAAATTTCTCATCTGTTTTATTGCACCAAAAATCAAAAACTACTGGACCTAGGGATTTAAACAATTTAGTTTTACAAACAAAATTTAAATTATTTTGTTTTGACAAGTGCCTTGTAAAATATTTTAGTGCAGATGAGAAAATAAAGGCCAACTGGATGTCTCCTTCCATCTACTGTCTAAACTAATGAAGTAAGCTGCCTATTGAAAACAGCTGTGAGGTCATGACATGAGAAGACAGAATATGCAGGGGAGGGAAGGGATAGTAGAAATAAAACAGTGGAGGGGGTAACAATGTTCGACAAGAAATGTACTCATTACCTTATTCATGTAACTGTAAATCCTCTATACAGCACTTTTACAGTAAAATAAAATTTAAAAAAAAAGAAAACAGAAACATGTGAAGACTGATACATGTCAGAGCCTTCCCAAGTACAAGTCTTTATAAAATGAAGATGGTAAGTTCCTCTGAGACATCACCACAAGAGCCTTTTTCTTACTGCAGGATTCTGAGAGGTTCGGTTAACACTCAAATTTGTTAAGCAAATCATGTGAAAGTCTTTTAAAAGCTGGCAGTAACTTGAAACAGAGGAACTAGAAATAAAGGAAAATTATATTATTGTATCCTAAATGTACTCACTAACTTCTAGACAGTTTAATTTCTAAGTGCCATTATAGCCACTTTTCAATTATGCTTTTATATACATAAATGAGATATGTCCTTCACTGGAAGTTTCTGCAGTAACTGAAATTAACTGTAAAAATACATATCTGTATATACAGCTTAAGAAATTCTTTTATCCCATAAAAGATGCCTGGATAACAGATAAATTTAGAGATAAAAATTAAATATTACATGGATCTTATTTTCAATTTGCTTATTTAATATTGAACTTTTAATATGTTTAGAATAAACTTAGCCAGTATATCAAAACATAACCTGATGCAAAATTTTGATATCTTTCCATACTATTAAGTGAAAAGGAGGGACATTATCTGTCATGAAATGAGAAGATGAATCCTAATGTTACATCTACTTGGGTATGTGTTCAGAACCTCTTAATGTAGGATTGTTACAATTTCTGTTCATGAAGTTCTCATTGAAAAGTAGCGATAATCGCACTCATATAGTACAAAGTTTCCACATTTTGATCTCTACTTTTGAAGACATTCTGATTGTTCTTTGAACTGTTTTCTTCTTCCCCAAAAAAAAAATCAGCTAGCATTGCAGCACTATGCACAGATTCACAGAGAAGTGTCAACTTAATTCTGTCTTGCGGAATAGGAGCAGTGTTTCTTGTAATTCACATGACACTCTTTGGCTGAGTTTGTCTGTTAAATTTCCTGTTTTGGCTCAGTTTTAGCAAACCAAAACAAACAGAGCTCAGAGAAGGCCATGGTAACTACATTTTTCCCCTTTTGGTATTGCCATTCAAACGATTCCCCTCAGAGGTACAGAGAGTGAGGAAGGAGCCACAGACACAGAGCGAACAGATCATATCAGTTTCAGAGCTCCAAAGAAGGTTCCATCCCCATCCAGTGATATTTGTGCATTTTCTCGGGGTATTGCAAGTTGAAGTTCATCTCCCTCTTCCAGCTTTGCGATGCCTGGAAAAGAGGGATTCACAAGGCAGCTCGGTAATTGTTCAGTCAAAGAAAAAAGGATAAAGAGAAGATGTCTAACCTAGTTAGCATTCTGAAAAAGAAAGTAAATAGCAGGAAAAGATGGAACAGATAAAATAGATTTACCATCTTCTGCTTATAAAAAGAGACTCAAAAGGATTCAAATAGCAAAGTTAACTAAGTATATCATGCTCTGCTTCTTAAGAGATTATTATATAATTGGAGGTGAGTTTTGTTTAATTTTATCGAACAAACAATACCGACAAATTGTAAATGCACATACAGTCTCACTGGATATTCCTAGGTATACTTTACAATGAATTTGTTATAAATATTAAAAATATCAATTATGTATTACCATAGTTTTTCTGTGGTGTCCAGATCACCTGCTTAGCTATCATTTGGGCTTCCTTGTACAGGCTTTGATAATTTAGGCTTCTTTATATTGCCATGTTTGTTTTTATTGTCTAAAGTACCACAAAAACAAGCTCCTTAAAAAAAAGTCTTTATCTGTGGGTACCTCACTGACAGTGAAATATTCTGTGAATGAGGAGTACAAAATACAGTTCAGAAACTATATTTGGTGAATTAGGAAATCAGTGGCCACACTTTTAAAAAAAAAAGGGGGGGAGAAAAGGAAAGAGAAGGAATAAAGAAATGAACAAACAAAATAATTAGTATTTGACTGACCAGGACTTACAACCAACAATTTAAAAGGGTGTAGTACTGTCCTATTAAGAGTCAGTATCAATTTATGTTCATGAACACAGTGATGTTAGTGCCTGACCTATTCTAAGCTGGGCACACGCAGGCTAACTTCAACATCACAGTACTGATTGACAGAACACTCCACAGGTATCAGTCACCCTTTGGGGCAGGCAGAGAACAGGGAGCTAGGATGATAGTGTTTTGGTATTAGATTGTGCTAAGTGGACAACAAACTATTTGTTTTTAGGTATTGTTTAATATGTTATGCTTTCTGAAATCAGCAAAGCATTTCAGTATTGGCAGCTTAGGTAATCAATAAAGATCTCTTAATTAGGATTTACTTATTGATTTGTCTTTACCATACCAATTTGAAATGACCAACTGTGGATCACAGACTATTAAGCAATATATTAACTTCTGTAAGTATGTGTGGTCAGGTGCCAGTATCTCACACCTGAAATCTTATTAGTGAGATACTGAACTACAGAAAATTAGGGCTCAAAGGAAGCTCAGGAGGAAAAGTCTATGAGAAATTATCTCCAAAGCTGGACTGGAGGTATGGCTCAAGTGGCAGAGCACCAGTCAAACAAGTGAACATGATACCTTGAGTTCAACCCCAATGCCAACAGACAAAAAATAGTGAAAAAATAAGTTAGTGTGCATGTTTTATTTTAAATTCCAGTATTAAGTTACCGGTCATTTCAATTCTTCCAAAATATCAGTCAATTGAAACTTTCCCTACAATAAGCACATTTAATTTTTATTAAAATAATAAGTAAAATTCACTTTTTGGTGTACAGTGTTTCCTTAGTCATATATACTTAATTGTTTTCGATTTTTTTTTAGTTCATTTGATCTACTTGTGGACAACCAGGTAGGTTTTATTGATTTTTAAACAATTTTTTTCTTCACACAGATTTCCGAGAGAATGACTCTTGTCATCTATCTACACTGAGGTATTCATATTGAGAAATATCTTTAAAACTAGGGTAACAGGCTGGGAAGTGCCTTGCATGCATGAGGCCGTGGGTTCGATTCCTCAGCATCACATAAGCAGAAAAAGCTGGAAGTTGTGCTGTGGTTCAAGTGGTAGAGCACTAGCCTTGAGCTGAAGAGCTGAGGGACAGCGCCCAGATCCAGAGTTCAGGATCCACGATCGACAAAAAAAAAAAGAAACTGAGGTAATTTCTTAAATAATGAAGTACCCAGAAAACTAGACAGAGCATGCCTACAGGATGTCAAGGTAAGCAGGGGGCAGAAGAGTTTTTAAGGGTTAGTTGTGAAACTCTAAGTACTGACCAATGGGAATCCATAAGGAGCTGGAGCGTCCTTAATGTTTATAACTAGTTTGCAATATAAATTGTGATCTGTGCTGGACACAGAGAAGGGCTCTTAAGGAAATTAGGGACTTCTGATTTGACTCCTCCTGTCCCCAAGCCACTAGAGCTGTCTGGAGCTGCAGATCTGTGGAGACGTCAACTGAATTATTGTGAACTATTTCCCTTTGTGTCTAACTGATTTGGGGTGCAGGGGGAGAGATGCCTGTTTGGAAACTTCTTTGAAATACTCGAGAAGGACTTCCTAATACTGGCTCCAACACTGCATCTGTTGTGTAACTGTCTTCCACTGAACGCTTTCCTCCACGTTCAGATGGATTTGACAAGACCTCTAGAGAGAAATAAACACACTCAGTGTGAATGTGGTTTTGAAAAACTATCCCTGGTTAATCTGAAGCTATCCCATGAAATAAAATGAGCAAAATGTTAGCAATTGGAGCCCTAATGGTTCTGGAATTAATACAGTCTGGAGCCTCTTTGCCCCTGAGCTTAAAGTCGGGGTTTTCCCTTGACTTGAGGGTTCCAGTGTCATTTGTAAAGTGCCCTTGTCCACTGGATGTCACCTGTCTGAATGTGAGAGGAAGCCACTGCAAAGTTTCCAGATCCTTGACCCTGAGCCCCACTGAGGTACCTTCTTCCACTACATGTAGAGTTGACCAGCATAAACCAAAACCTGGTACCCAGTTACTAGGATACACTGTAGCCGGGCAACCTAGAAGTTAGGTAATCTCCTTCTGTCTCAGATTCTCCCTGACATAAGCAGATTAAATGAGTCACAGGAAGGGAGCCTAGCAGATGGTGATTATCTGTGATTGTTAGAGATTATTACTTCTTCTTTTAGTTGCTTTTTGTTGTTTTTGTTTTGTTGGTTGTGGGGCCTGAACTCTGGGCCTGGGTGCTGTCCCTCAGTTCTTCAGCTCAAGGCTAACGCTCTCCACTTGAGCCACAGTGCCATTTCTGCTTTTTCTGCTTTTGTGATGCTGAGAAATCAAACTCAGGGCTTCATGCATGCAAGGCAAGCACTCTACCACTGAGCCACCTTCCCAGCCCATGTTTCTTCTTTTGTTATAGATACTTCCAGAATTTTTTTTTAAATAATGGGGTTTGAAACCAGGACTTGGTGCTGGCTAGCTTGGCCCGCTACCCCTTGAACCATGCTTCCAGTTCTAGGCTATTACTTTGTCAACTGGCTGATACTTTTTGTTTGTTTCTTTATTTGTTTTATTTTACAGTGTCAGATATTGAATTCAGGGCAAGGGTATGTGCTGAGTGAGTGCTCTCTAACTGTTGTTATAAATAATGGAAGAAAATACATTCGCAAATTACTGCCAAGGTAAAATTGTCTAAAACTTATTACCTTTCCTAATTTACATAAAAAGGTATACCTATTAGTAATCTTTCAAATTCTTGCAGTTGAAACAAGTTTGCTCACTGATTGTGAGTAAAAAGTACACCAGGTAGGGAGGAACAATGTTTCGCCTATTTATATTCGAAGCCCAGATACTTCCATAATCTCCATCTTCATTCCCCAAGGCAGATGGAAGAACTCCTATTTACCAGCTGAATAACAGGAATTATTGGGTAGTGTTTCCGGCATGTTCTGAATACAGCGAAACAAAGTCACCAGGCTCAACTCATCCCCAAACACATGGACTTTTTTCCTCTGTATTAGGTGTCCCATGGCAAAAGTGTTATCAGTGTACAAAACCTGAGGAACAAACCAAGGAACATTGTCAGGAGTGGGCCCAGAATGGAAGGTGCTGGAATGTGGAGGTAGAACTTAGGAGCAGACTTACCTGACCATAAATAAAGAAGTAACCGGTTTCCCTCACTACTATTTTATTCTCCTTTTCTTCTAGGGCTCTGCCTCTTTTAAAGCTGAGTAGCCACGGAACGAATGTGTAAGAGCCTACAAACGAAGAGAATTATTCATGAGAAAACAAACTGAGAAAAGTAATTTCTACCTCTACTTAATTGCTAAATGAAATTAGAAACTTGGAAGAGAATCATATCAGAAAAGGGGGAAAAATCAAACAAACTACAGTCTTCTGTTCTCTTCCATTGCTTGTTATTCTCCTGGGCAGATGCAGGATTCTAGGTGAATATATACAGTTTGTTTTATGGTCCTGTACATCAGCTATTTTATGAAAAAGACTGGTCACTGTGGGAGAACTTCAAGTAAAGAATGGACAAAAGCTCTCTAACACATGAGTAGAGAATTTTCTCTGAGAAGGGCTGATTGTGTGAAGCTTAGAGAAAAACATCAAGAGAATTTAAAAAAAAAAAAAAAACCTCCCTTCAATCTTGCAACAGAACGAAACTTACCAGGGAAGTCACTGAGACATAAATTTTGTCTCAGGGAAACCCACTGAGAACTTGTCAACAATAATCAATCATGTTCAATTTCAAGTGTACTCTATTCATTATACAAATTCTCAGAGCTTGCTCAGTACTGGATGAAGGTATAGTTAGAAAACATCAGCCACAGAGTAAACAGACAAGGGGTACCCCATCATGGGCCAAAATCACGCAGGGTGAGCAGGAGAATAAAATCACGGAGCCAGAATCAAATCTGAGTATTCTTCGACATAAACCCTGCTAAGACAATGTAAACATTCCTTTTATAAACTGTCTTTCCCACGGTTATGTTATATAACTAATGGTGTGATGATGACGCTCAAGCTAAAGACTGAGAGACAGGGAGATATTAAAAATGGTGTAAATACATAAATAGAAATTTAGAGATGTGGAAATGGAAGAGTGGAATCAAATAGCAAAATTTTCACAGTCTAAGTAATTGCATACAATGTTCCCAGTTAATGAATGGCTATTACCCATATGTGTCTTGAAATTTTACTTTGCCAATTTACTTGGCTATTTTACTTGGCTATTGTGACCAGAGGTTGGATTAGCACATATGTAGCAATGACTCTTTTGTTCTCTCACTGATTGCCTCTCCTTTCTGTCTATACACCCCGAAGGTGAATTGCTGAATTATAAGTAGTTCTAGTTTTAATTTCTTGAAGGACTTTCATACTATTTTCTGTAATGCCTGTACCCATTACAAGTATGGTTTTTGTAATAGGAATACAAAATAAGAGCCGTGCACTTTCTTAAAGTTTCTAAAGAGTTAAAGAATGGTAGGTGGTAACAAAGCACACTGCACTGTAAGTTCAAGCTACAATGGACAAATTGATTAGGAGGACTTCCAAGTCATAGTACCTTAGAAAATGGGAAGGAGCAGGAGGCAGGGAGATGGGGTTGCAAGAGGGTGAAAGAGCATACAGACAGACCTGGTCTTCCTAGCATATGCTTTTGTCTACATTCCAACACCACCCATCCTATCTCCCCAAGAATGGTGCATCCCAGTCGGGTGTCGATGTAATAGCTAGTCAGGAGGCTAAGATCTGAGGATCACAGTTCAAAGCGAGTCCGGGTAGGGAAGTCCGTGAAACTCTTATCTCTGTAAACCACCAAAAAACAGGAAGTGGTGCTGTGGCTCATGTGGTAGAGTGCTGGCCTTGAGCTCAAGAGCTGAGGGATAGCACCCAGGCCCAGAGTTCAAGCCCCACGACCAACAACAACAACAAAATGATTGGTGCATCCCTTAGGTGGGGATTTTCCTCATGTTCTTTTCTCAAAGAAGAGCTCCAGGAAGGTTTTCCCTAGGAAAAATTGTCCCCAAAGTGAAATTCTCCCAGGGTTTTACTAGATAAAACCATCAATACACCAGAAATCATCACCATTACAAATAGGAAATCCAAGAACATGTCTACCTGTTTGCGTACAATGTAATCCCAATAGTGGTAAAACATAGCATTTAATTTGCTTTAAATGAGATAAAGGAACTTTTAAATACTGACTGCTAAAACCAGTGAAGAAGAATTATTGCAATGGGGATTGTTGTAAATATAAGCTTGGGATATTGGCATGAATGTACCAAAATCCATTGCTTCTATGAATGCAGTTAGCAAAAATGGAAGCTATTGAATAATAAGAGGTATGGGGATGAAAATGTGAGAGTGTATTTGGGCCTTAACTGATTAATAAACTGCATATGCATGTGGGAAATACCAATATGAAACCCCTCTGAACAATTACCACACACTTTAAAAGTGAATGACAGGAATGGAAAACAGGTCCCTTGTGAAGGCTGGGCTCTAGCAGGTAGGGAAGAGACAGAGAAGGTAAAGGAGGATGAATATAATCAAACTACATTACAGAGTAGGGCACTGGTAGCTCACACCTGCATTCCTAAGCCTCATTCTGAGCCAGACTAGGCTGACAAACCCAAGAGATTCACATCTCCAGTTAACCAGCAGAAAGCTGGAACTGGAGGTGTGGCTCAGTGACAAAGCACCCACCATAAGTGAAGACGCCTAATGAGAATGAGTCCCTAGGTTCAAGCCCCAATCCCACATGTGCACACAAAAGATATACGATGTATATTCATGACAGTTGGAACATTGAAGCTGGTTCAGACTAGTTTGGGAAGGGGAGGAGGGCCTGAGTGGGAGTGATGAAGAGTAGGATCAAGATTATTGTGTATGCCTCCGAACATGGCAAAATGCACAACAAATCGATGCTAATAAAAAAAAAAAAGTGGGGAAAAGAGAATGCTGATTTTGTGCTCCAGCCTTTTGTCCCTCAAAACAACATGTAACTCACACTCTTCACTTCTTGGAGATCAAGGATTATCTACTTTGGGTTCACTGCAATTTCCCTGGGATTTAAAGAGATGACTAGCTCACAGGGGATATGCAGCAAAACGTGTGTGTGTGTGTGTGTGTGTGTGTGTGTGAGAGAGAGAGAGAGAGAGAGAGAGAGAGTGTGTGTGTGTGTGTGTGTGTGTGCGTGCGCGCGCGCGCGCTGAACTGAAATCAGGGCCTCCCACAAAAGTACAGAAAAACTCGGTACCTGTGGCTCACGTTTGTAATCAGTTTACTAAGAGGCTGAGATCTGAGCCTCACAATTCTAGCCCAGGTAGACAAATCCCAAGAAACTCCTGTCTGCAATTAACTAGCACACGATATAGAAGTATTAGTGTGATGAAGATGTTTGAGCATTAGTCCTGAGCAGAAAAAGCCAAGCAAAAGTGTAGAGCCCTGAGTTCAAACCTCATTAACCAACATGAAATGAGTTCAAACCTCATTACCAACATGAAACAAAAAACAGGAACAGAAAGGAAAGAATCCTTTTATGTCAGGCCAGAGAGCCAAGCCATTTCTGGGAAGAAAGTTTGTTCTTGTCTCAGTTTTCCTATAAAATATTCAAGTAAACAAATTTTATATTTGAGCACATAATGAACAATGTTCTCTAATTCATTTTGAAGAAAGCAACATAAAATGATTCAGAAAAGAAACATATGAAGGGGTTGGGTGGGGGGGTGGGGGGAGGATGGGATGGGAAGGGGAAACAATGGAGGAGGCTACAATGCTTGATAAGAAATGTACTCATTGGGGCTGGGAAGGTGGCTCAGTGGTAGAGCGCTTGCCTTGCATGCCTGAGGCCCTGGGTTTGATTCCTCAGCACCACATAAGCAAAAAGAAAAAAGCCAGAAGTGGCACTGTGGCTCAAGTGGTAGAGTGCTAGCCTTGAGCTGAAGAGCTAAGGGACAGCGCCCAGGCCCAGAGTTCAGGCCCCACGACTGGACCCCCCCCCCCAAAAAAAAAGAAATGTACTCATTATCTTGCTCATGTAATTGTAACCCCTCTGTACAGTATTTTCACAATAAAAAATTTTTTAAAAAAGAAACATATGAAGAAGGGAATCAGAACCACAGGACTTGTCATGATTATCAAATACATCCATCTATAAAAGTAACACCAAAACACATGCCAGTATAATGTGGGATTTATACAACTAGCAAATATTGGGAAGGGGAAGATATGTTGATAATTCATCATTTACATAATTTGTAGCATGAGTTGATAAAACACATAATAGAAATAGAAATATTTGATTGTGTATACATAAATAGAAATACCATACTGTTGTCAAAAGACAGAAAACAAAAATGTTTAAAAGAATGTTAATATTCTATTAGATTAGAGAAAGAATCAATCGATATTGTCTGAAGATTTCTAGATGCCAGCATGAAAATACTGGGAAAAATACAAGGTAGAAAACTCAAAGGCTCTGTCCCTTCACTAAATCAAACAAGCTGGTAAAACCACATAAAATCAACTTATTTAATGTGCGCAAGTTAATTAAAATTTAGAGTAACCAAGAGAATGCTTAACGCAGAAAGGACAGCAGCAATTCAGTGAGGAATTCTCCAAATTGGTGGCAGTGATGGAAATGCCACCTGAGTTCTTGGTGGTGGTCTCCAGGGTGGGCAAGCCCAGTATTTCCTGCCCTTTCCTCCCTCCAAAAAAAAAAAAAAAACAGTGAAGAGAAGGCACAGTGGGGAAGCATTGGGGAAACACAGGCTCTGAAAGGGCACCACATACTGGGAGCATCTGAGTGCAATGAGCAGGCCCAGATCCTGGTACATGCTCAGCGAAGAGCCTTAGGGCTCTGGCTTTGTGATGGGCTTTGTTCACGGAGGAGGTGAGGACTTAGGCAGAACTGTCGGCGACCTGGCTATCTTTGAAGGAATGCCACAGCATGGAGCCAGTCTGTATTCTGCATTCTGTATTCTTTTTGGCGTGAAGAAAATCTTCATCAAAATTCAGACTAAAGAGGAGTGTCCTATCCACCCATCTGCACAATAGTAGACCAAAGTCTTTGGTGGCCACATGGGATAGTAGAGACTTCACAAAATGCTGTCTTTGGAAATGTCACTGAACAAATGATCAGCCTCAGTCTACAACAATAAGCAACAAGAGTATGCAGAAGAGAGACAGAGAGAGACAGAGACAGAGACAGAGTATGGCTGCCAGAATTACCACATTGTGATTCCAAACTGTCTGATTTTTCACAGAAGATGGTAAGGCAGATGAATAAACAGGAAAATTATGGGAATGACTCGCAATTGACATTTCAATGAGTACAACCTCTCTTCACCAAGATCTACCTGTCTCACTGGTAAAATGCCCTTGCATGGTAACAGGTAAATATGATCCAAAGGTTCATAAACTAACCTGTGTCTCTGAAAGGTCCAGGAACTGGGGCCCCCGCAGTCCAGGCCACACCCCTGCTACGGGGCAGATGCAGGCTGCACTCCACACACTGTACATTGCATGCACACTGGGGTGTACTGGACACACCATTTTCCACCACTGGAGCATTCTGACTATTTTTTTCCTATATCGAGATGTGTAAAATCTTTTCCCATTACTATTTTAAGTTCAAATTTGGTCCTTATGGCATTCTTCTGGCTTTGCTTTCATTCCTAGGAAATAGTTTGCTTCCTTTTAAAAAAAGTTGCGAGCATGATTTAGGAGAAAGTAGAGCATAAGCAATCACAGATTTTTCTAATGGTTTGCTTGAGTACTTGTTTGACATTTATGATAATTAAAGTTACATAGGAAATCACAGATGCCAAGCAGTGTTCCAAGGAACTGTTAGAAGGCCAACCCACAAACCTTATCTACGCTGGATGGTTTGCCTCGTTCCTCTGGCCCTGCTTTCGTCTGCCAGTAATCTCAGACTCCCACTCCGGGAGTCACAGCTCAGACATTCCCGGCTCCTTCCATCATAAAGTTACCACGGGCCATTTTACTTTATGCTCTACATTTCACTTGTGTGTGGCCTCTTTTCTTTGTCTGTTTACACCAATCTGAGAGTGAACTCCAGCAACATAAAAATTAAACATATGTCATTCCATACACCCATTGGTACTCCATAGTCACGGAACCATCATGTGTTGTCTCGTAAAACACGTAAAACGCACAAAACATCCCATGTTCCTCTCCAGTACACTCTTATTAATTACTTTGTATTGTCTGAAGCTGTTGAATATCGTCAGTTCCCAACTTGGACTTTCACAAACTTATTTGACTCAAAACTTCTTATTTCTAGAGTCATTTCTTTGGATTAATTTTAGAGGTGGTGCTTTGTTTGGAAAATGGTTTTGAAATTTTATTTGAAAATGTATTCTCCACAAAACCTTGCTCTGGAAAATATTTAGTTGTCTAGAATTAATGCTACAGAAAGCTTCAAGAAACTGAAAATTGACTTAGGAATATTTTAATCCTCTGAGAAAATAATCAATTATAAAGTAATAATTTGATGTTAGAGAATTATAAAAATATTGTTTATGCCAGGTGCCGGTGGCTCACGCCTGTAATCCTAGCTACTCAGGAGGCTGAGATCTGAGAATTGTAGTTCAAAGCCAGCCTGGGCAGGAGAGACCGTGAGACTCTTATCGCCAATAAAACCACCAGGAAACCAGAAGTGGTGCTGTGGCTCAAGTAGAGTATTCACCTTGAGCTGAAGAGCCAAGGGTCAATGCCCAGGCCCAGAGTTTAAGCCCCACAAACGACCAAAAAATAAAAAATAAATAAAATTGCTGCAATCCCATTTATCCAATTTTTCTTTGATTTGATAGATCTTTATTTAGGAAGCTCCATTCTGTGCCCAGGAACTCTAGGAGCCCTTCCTATAACAGTTTCATGGTTTCTGGCCTTACACTGAGGTTTTTGATCCATTTTGAATTTATTCTGGTACAAGGTGATACATAGGATCTAGCTTCAGTTTTCTGCATATGGATGAGCCAGTTTTACCACCACTACTTGTTAAAGAGGCTGTCTTTCTTCCAACCTGTGTTTTGGATCCCTTGTCAAATGGGATTGCATCAAACTTAAAGGTTTCTAGACGGCAAAGGACATAGCTGATAAGCTAAATAGAAAGCCCACGGAACAAAGATTTTTTTCCTACCCGTACATCAAACAAGGGCTTAATATCTGAAATGTACTTAGTGCTCAAAAAATCAAGGGCTTAATATCTGAAATGTACTTAGTGCTCAAAAAATTACCCCCCCTCCAAATAAACCCTCAAAGAAACAACTCAATTAATAAATGGGCTAATGACTTAAAGAAAGACTTCTCAGAAGATGAAGTAAGAATGGCCAATAGACACATGAAGAAATGCTCGACATCTCTGGTCACAAAGGAAATGCAAATCAAAACAACTGAGATTTTACTTCACCTCAGTTAGAATGGCTAATATCAAGAAAACTAGCAATACCAGATGCTGGTATACAGTCTCAAACTTCCTCACAAGCCCCAGAAGTTCCACTCCTGGCCTTTTATCCAATAGAACAAAAACAAGTCCATACTAAAGCTACCAGCATATCCATGTTCATTGCAGCATTTACCATAGCAAGATATAGAATCAGCCCAGATGCCCCTCAGTGGACAAATGGAATTCTACTCATCCATCAGAAAGAATAATATTATACCATTTATAAGGAAATGGAAAGACTTTGGAAAAATTATATTAAGTGAAGTAACCCCAAGAAACATAGGTTGCATGGTTTCACTCACTTGTGGTAGCTTGAATGCACCTATAAATCCACACATAAACATATTGGATAGTTTAAAAAATACACTGGGACATGATGAATTATACAGGTCTCTAGACATTCACACACAATGAAACAAAATGAGGATATTCTTAGGAGAGAAACACAAAAGTGCACGACCTATGGGCATCTGATCATATAAAATAGTATTTATCTGAGTGAACACCAGCAAATGGAAACAATAGTTTTTGTTGCTGCTGTTTTTGTTTTCTTTTTTGTCTTATTTATTTATTTATCTGTCTTTGGGAGTATAAAAGAGAGGCACAGAAATAGAGGGACAAAGGGTGAACAAATGCAGCAGTGGTACTCATTAGACACTATGTTGAAAATGAACTATACAACTTGTGGGTGGGAACAGGAAGGAAATACTGGGAGAAAGCTAGGGAAGGAGTGACATTGTCCAAAAAGAAATGCACTCATTACCTGACTTATGTAACTGTGACCCCTCTGTACATCACCTTTATAAAACAATTTTTAAAAAACATGAAAAAGAAAATAATATTGTTTGTTCCGTCTTGCTCTGATCATATTAAAGTTTTTATAACCAAATCAATAGTAGTAATGCTCACACAGGTCCTACTGTATCCCCATAGAAGTCAAAATTACTTCTAATAGAAGTTATAGGCTGGGGATGGGTGGCTGACACCTGTAATCCTAGCTACTCAGGAGGCTGAGATCTGAGGATCGAGGTTCAAAGCCAGCCCAAGCAGGAAAGTCCATGAGACTTTTGTCTCCAATTAACCACCTGAAAATGGGAAGTGGCATTGTGGATCAAGTAGTAGAGTGCTAGCGCTGAAGAGCTGAGGGACAGTGCCCAGGCCCAGAGTTCAAGCCCCATGACCAGCAACAACAACAAAAAGAAGTTATAAAAAACTTGATATGAATATAATTATTTAAAATGTCTAAATCTAGTATCTTTCTGCTAATTCTGTTTATCAGATTATCTGGAGTGGAAATACTTATTCCCAAGTCATTTTGAGTCACTTAAATGTTGCTGTGTGACATCTGATTGCGAGAAGTTTTGAGGCAGAATGCTAAGATATAGTTGTAATGTTAGACTTAACATGAGAGCAAGTGGTACTGGACAGAATCCTGGGGGACAGAGGGTGCTAGGGGACAGGGGCCCTGGGGAAGGAGGGTGTGGCCGTTCATTACCTTTGCGGATAGTTGGCATGTCACTGTCTGCGATCAGCTGCAGGCAATCTTGAGAGACTGAAAAGCAAAACACACAATTTCCTTACTTGAACAGCAGCTGTGGGAACTAAGGTGATAAGACACAAGCGAGTGTGTGACTCATTTTCTCGCAAATGTTCAAACAAGCATAATTTTTACCTTGCTTTCATGCTATTATTTGAGTTATGAAATGGGCCTATTTAATATATATATTTGAAACCCAGTACACATTAGAAAAGTTTTATCTGCCACTGAGTTGTGCAAAACACCATTGGCACAACTGAATCAAATTCACATTGACTGCCATGGCTGTGTAGAAAGCAGGGTTAGTCATTTTGTTTTTCAAGTCTACCAAATACATGATAAACCTTATCCGATCACTCCAAACGGTATTGTGGGTATTTTGTTAAAATCTAATATTAAATAATGATTAACTGAATACATCAGTAGTACTCCTGAATTAATGCTATTGAATATACAACTTCTGCAACCACTTAAAACATAAACAATGTTTAGCACTTATTAAACATGTAAACTGTAAGCAACTTAACACTTAAGTATCCATTGTCTATCTGCCTTTACCTTTCAAGCAGCATAAAGCATAGGAAGTACAAACACCCAACACTAAGGGGTTGAGAGTGAACCAGAATTTAAATCTCATCCATTTCAGTGAAAGCCAGAGACAAGCTTTTTGGCAAGATATCTGAATGCGAGTGAGATCTTACTAAAAATGAAACATGAGCTTTCTGTCAGGCTGCAGTTACTAAAACTTCCTGGAAACATCAATTCACAACATATGCCACAGGTAGAGGACTTCAGAAGATGCCCAAGGGAGAAAGGAAAAACAGAATTAAAGAAAATTCCCTAGAGCTAACTAAGTACATTTTCTATTGCATATGCAGGGAGGGAAAAATAAAACAAAACACTTTGTTTGCACAGCCTAAATCTAGCTTGCTTATTTTAACTGATGTGCAAATATAGGTTTTCGTAGTGTCCAACAAGCATTTTATTTAGAGTTGAAAGAGCGCTTTATAGACCCACTTCTCAATGTGTTTTTAAAAGGATGATGGGATGATTCACAACTCAGTGTTTAACTGAAAATTTCTAAAATGTGCAGTCCGAAATTACAGAGTAATATTTACAGTTCTGAACCTGTGAGAGACAATGGCATAAGAAAGTCTGCTGAGAAATTTCCCCTGGAATTTTAAGCTAGAAATACAATGCTGAAAATAAGAAAAAAAAACTTTCTTTATAAATTGCTAATTTGATCCTTTCAATTGCAACAGAAATACCAATGAAACTTGAGTAGGTAGTTAACAAATAAGAACATAAAGGACACTTTTTTCCCTGCAACACATTTTGTTTTACCCTGTGGATCCTCTTCCTTTTAATGTGAAACAAATATCACACCTGAGCCACAGATAAAAATAGGATTGATCAGTTCAGCAGTGTTTTCCTGTTACAATTGAGAGAGGGAGCAGGGGGCTGGTTGATCACACCTGACATTCTACTGACTCAAGAAGCTGAGACCTAAGGATCTGGGTTTGAAGCCAGCCTGGGCAGACTTGAGACTCTTATCTCCAATTAACCAGCAAATAGATGGAACTGGAGGCATGGCTCAAGTGATAGAGCACCAGTCTTGCACAAAAAAGTCAAGTGACAGGGCTGGGAAGGTAGCTCAGTGGTAGAGCACTTGCCTTGCATACCTGAGGTCCTGGGTTCGATTCCTCAGCACCACACAAGCAAAAAGAAAAAAGCCGGAAGTGGCGCTGTGGCTCAAGTGGTAGAGCGCTAGGCTTGAGCTGAAGAGCTGAGGGACAGCGCCCAGGCCCAGAGTTCAGGCCCCACTACCAGACCAAAAAAAAAAAAAAGTCAAGTGACATCAAGAGGATCTGAGTTATAACCCCAGGATGGGCACAAAACAAACCAAAAGTCAAAACTATTAATGACTGAGACACGTACAATAAGCATATTAGTAAAAATAATCAATGAAATAATAAGTAATTTTACCTTTCTGTAATCTAAAACAACTGTATTTCTTAATGGCTTTTAAATTCCAATTGACTAATAAAGGAAAAAATGGAAATGTTCCCTGATTTTATCAATAAGCTGATTAAGTCTGGTAGCAAACATTCTGAAATAATTCACTTATCAGAGAGGTTCTGAAGATGCTTATAGTTAAATTCACAGAAATGAATAAAATGGGGGTTGGGAAGGTGGTTCAGTGGTAGAGTGCTTGCCTTGCATGCATGGGGCCCTGGGTTCGATTCCTCAGCACCACATACACAGAAAAAGCTGGAAGTGGGTGCTTTGGCTCAAGTGGTAGAGCGCTAGCCTTGAGCTGAAGAGCTCAGAACAGTGCTCAGGCCCAGAGTTCAAGCTCCACAACCAGCAAAAAAAGGAAATGAATAAAATGATACTTAGGTGAACGTTCAAATCAAGGTCATCATGATTCATTTGAAAATAAATGGTATTATGTAATATTTTCAAAGAAACATGACTTGTTATTTTTTTTTCAGTTGAGAATATCTCCAAATTAACTTACTGTTGGACTTCAAAAGGAATTTTTGGCCATGATGAGCTATTTGGCAATTTTCTAAATCATGGATTTCCCCACATTTCTGTTTATTACACTGTAATCAAACCTGGCCTTCTGAAATACATTAAGGTTTATAAAATTTTAATTTGAGACAGAAAATAAATTAAGAAAAAACAAAGTGGAGCCAAATTACTAACTTTTACAATTAAAAGTAGAGTTTGCTTTTGGAAAGATTGAAAGATAGCCAGGTCCATCTCTTTACTCACTATTGCCAAAAAAAAAGTACTTATTCCAATTAAACACTAATGTCTCTGAAATGGATATAGTCAGCTAATGAATGAGGGTGTAAGTAGATACTTTTAAAGGAAAAGAACAAGCTAAGGCTCCTGGGTCTTCCATTAAATCAGAACAACAAGAATGGAAAGAAAAATAAAACTCTGCCTAGATGAGCTGGGTAGACTTTTCCCAATTCCAAAGATAGAATGCACTGACCAGAAAAAGGGAAAGACCTTTACATCTCACACAGCTTTCTTGGGTTCATAGATATTCATTGTACAATAGCTAGATTTAATAAATTCCCCTCAATGAAAGGATAATAGTTCAATGTCAAGTTCAATGTCAAGGCATGGTAAACCTACCTGTCCCTGAAATTCTTATCTTCAAGCATCCATCTTGGATCTGTGGATGTTATGATATTTACTAAGTATTATGCATGAATATACATATACTATGTGTCTTGCATATATACACATAATATATGTGTAATGTTATAAATGTAATATATGCACATATACATAACAGATATGTTCATGTAGTAATACACATATACAATGTGTGCTATATAGTCATTATTTTATATTAAAAGTTGGTTAAAAAAACTCTACTTCTGCTGGTGATTACAAATCAGCTGTAGAATCTGAGTAATTTTTGTTTGCTCTGTGAGGATTCTGTTACCAAACTGTCTACAAATTACAAATTAATATTGTAAGGAAATTTTCATTACTCTATAATTTTTGCATGCTGTAACAACACTTGAATATAAAATAGACAAACAGGAGGAAAATTTCAAAGTATCAGTATGGAGTATTTTGGCAAATTGTGACCTAGGAAAATATTCATTTTTAACTCTATTCTTATTTTTCTTTAATATCTGCTGAAATATACTCATTCAAATGGTAAAATTAAGATTAATTTAAATCACTATCTAGAAGGAAGGTAATAGTACCCTAGAAAATTAAAGGTACTTGAGGAATCCATACCATACTAGATACTGAAGTCCTTTATAAGAAACATGTACTGAATGTTGTTTATTTAAAGTTGATAAATAAAACAATAAATCAATGCTAATATAGTCTCAAACAGACTCAAATTACATATGAAAATCTTCATTTTCCAAATGAAGAAGTTAATAAGTATCATTTGATACAATTTGCTTTAGGTAGCAGTCTGGAAGGGAAAAAAAGGAAAGAAAAAAAGAGGAAGTTAATACCAGTATAAAATGACTCACACAAACACCAGAAAGATTCCTGATAAAATCAAACAAAACAGTCATAAAACAGTCAAAGTAGCCAGAAATAGAGCAAACTAAAAGATCATGAGCACAAATATTTTTAACTGGGCTGTATTAGAGAAAGTCAAAAGAAAAGCATGGAAAAAATCCATCACAGGGATTTTCTTATATAAAAGAACAAATTTCTGCGAAAAAAATTATAAACATGACTAATTAGGAAGTTATTAAAAATGTGAAAAAGAGACAATGAAAAGTTAAAAATAAAAATCAGCATGGCCAAAATTAGAAGTAATCAAAAATATGCAGGAAATGTTGGACTTTGGTGGCTCACACCTGTAATCCTGGCTATTCAGGAGTCTGAGATCTGAGGATCCTGGTTTGAGGTCAGACTAGGCATAAATCTGAGATTTGGGTTACCAATGAATTATTTTGAGAAAGGAAGGAAGGAGGAAAGGGAGGGAGGGAGGGAAAAGAAAGAAGGAAGAAAGGGGAAAGAGAAAGAAAGAAAGAAAGAAAGGGAGAGAAAGAAAAAGAGAGAGAAAGGGAGAGAAAGAAAGAAAAAAAGAAAGAAAGAAAGAAAAAGAAAGACAAAGAAAGGAAGGAAGGAGGAAAGGAAGGGAGGGAGGGAGGGAAAAGAAAGAAGGAAGAAAAGGAAAAGAGAAAGAAAGAAAGAGAGAAGAGGAGAGAGAAAGAAAAAAAGGGAGAGAAAGAATGAAAGAAAGAATCAAAGAAAGATAAAGAAAGGAAGGAAGGAAGGAAGGGAGAAGAGAGAGAAGGAAAGAAAAGGGGGGGGAAAGTGCAAAGTAGAGCTGTGGCTCCAGTAGTATAGCACTAACCTTGAGCAGAGGGACAGTGCCAGGGCCCAGAATTCAATTCCCAACGCTGGCACACATGTACACACACATGTGCGCACAGAGAAAAAGGTGTTCACTGCATGTTCAGTACAATAGGCAAGACAGTAAAATAAAGTTGAGATACTTTTTTGTAACTGGGAAACTGGTCAGAATCAAAACTTAAAGACAGAATTACTGCAGCAAGAATGTAGACAAACAGGTTCACTAAATTTTGTATTGTGAATTACACTGATAACACTTGAAAAGCATAGCAACAATTAGCCCAGTCATTCTCTTTAGCTCATAATTCACAATATAGAAATTATAAATCATACCAAATGTAAATTCTCCAGAAACTAAAGATACACACACACGTGTATGTTCTATATAGCACAGAAGAAATGAAAATCGTCATGTCAAAAATGATTTCATAAATACAAATGAGAATTACAACTCAGTGGACTACAGACTATGAGACAGAAACAAAAAAAACCACACACAGCAAACCGCCTGTGCTCTTGATGGGAAGGTGAAATAAAACATACAAAAAACAATTCGTGCATGGAAGTGACTTTAAGTGCGGTTGGTTTCCAGTTTTAAATGCACAGAGCCAATTTCCTGTAGTCAGAGGCCCACAGGTTTGGTCATCGATGCCACGATCAGTGAGACGCGCGTGGGAAGGGGAGCTGGGGCCAGCCGGCCTGTGGTGAGGGAGAGACAGCTTTGCCCTCCCCTTGGAAAATCCCAGTGAAATGAGTCCCGCGCCCTGGGATCCCGGGTCCCTGGCAGAGAGGGGCGGACCACACAGGTGTGAGCACACCCCCCCCCCACACACACACACATCCTGGCGCTTTCTAGATGCCCAGGAAAACCATCTCTGCGCGGAACAGGCGCGGTGGCACATATCTGACCCATGGTGAAGGCACAGCACACACACATCCCCTGGTGGGAAGGGATCCTGTGGGGAGGAGTTGCCAACTGTGGAGCCCTCTGGAGAGGGGACGCAACACGGCAGGGCCAGGGCCATAGGAAGGATGAGGGGTGGTATGCAGGTGGGGAGGGACTTGCTATGGGTGCGTGTGCACGGGGTGGGGGGGGAGAAGGGGTAGCGTGTGTGTGTGTGTGTGTGTGTGTGTGTGAGAGAGAGAGAGAAAGAGCATGGGTGCGCGCGCTGCTCCGCGGGGAAGCCGGTCACGCAATGCCCTCTGGTGAACATGCGCCCCGCGCCATGGGCACGCTCACCGGTGTCGGTGGCCACGCTCATCCGTGTCCGTGGGCACGCTCATCGGGGTCAGTGGGCACGCTCAGCAGCATTGGTGGGCACGCTCAGCAGTGTCTTGGGCACACTCGCCCGTGTCAGTGGGCACACTCACTCCTGTCCGTGGCTGTTTCCCGCCTCCCCTCCTCGCCGGGCCCCTTTTCCGCTGGGATCTCTCCCTTCGCAGCCTCGCAGGGCTGCGAAGCCACCTGTGGCTTGGGTCCCCGGGGCCACCCCCGCCCGCCCACCCGCCGGTCTGAGCTCTGAGCGGGACCCCTTCACCCTGGGCTCACCGGTCTCCTCCGCCCCCTCCAGGGCGCGCTTGTGCCGGGCGCTCCGGCTGGCATTGCTCTGTCCCGCTGCCGCCAGGGGCACGATCGCCTGGAACAGAGAGAGCCCCGGGGTGACGGACCGGCGTCGGCGCTGGCCCGGGGCGGGGGGGAG